TTCGATCCCTGTACGAGCCATTTGCTGGAGAGCTGGAGTCAGTAATCCTCCTTGTCCGTGGGTCCGTTCCAGCTCTAAATTCTGTTCATTCACGTCCTACTGATATTTGAATGTAAGGACCTGGAGCGATGCAGTAATTTGGCATCTGCTGTGGCCGTCGGCAAGAGTGGGGGCTGAACTATTTGTTTTCAGTGTTTAGTAAGAAATAATACACTTCGCAGAGCAATGCAGAATCCTCACCCTTTAATTTTCAGCCTTTGTCTCGAGGTGGCGGCAGGTGGGTGTTCGGCTGTGGGCAGTGCGGGTGGCGGGGCCCGCGGGGGCGCTGGGCGCAGCCGTGGCTGCGGGCTGCGATGTGACTCGGCCCGCTGGGGCTGTCACAGCAGCGCGGGCACCGCACTCCGGGCCCTGCGCCGGCCCGACAGGCTTGCGCACAAAATGTGGTGGATGGGTTCCCAGTGTCTGCCGCGCTCCCTATCGTTGCTGCGCGGCGTCGGAGCCCGCAGCGTGAAGCGAGCCTTGCGCAAATCGCTTCCTTCTCGGGCGCGGACGTCAGAAGTGATCCGGGCCGGGCCGGGCCGGGCCGCGCCGCTCGCATGAGTCACAGCGCCGGCCCCGGGGTGCGTGCGCGCTGCCGCGGGCTGCCGGAGTGCTTTAAATACATCACTTGGGAACGGATAACATGTGAAAAGGCAAAATACAATGGCACGTGTGTTTGAGTTGAGGTGAATAAATGTGGTAGAAGAGTGTTTTAAAAAAAAAAAAAAAAGCTATTCGAAGATGATCGCCTTAATTAAAAGTTTCATATTTTCTGGTAATTTGATTGACTATTAGATGGGGAGGAGAATATGGCTGTAGAAAAATAGGGTTTTCAAAACCTCATGAATAACATGTAATTCTGACCGTTTTTAAGTGAAGAGTCTAGTATTCAGTAAAATATGTAAAAAAAATAGGGAAGAAAAAAAGGCCTATTGAAAAGTTTTTTCATATCCTTTAATAGCTTTTAGTAAATTCAGTCCAGGACTTAAATAATGTGCTTAGGACTTCTGCAGAGTAATCTTTGGGGCTTAAGTCTGCATCCAAGAAAAAAGACGTTTTTGTGTGTGTGTTGCATTCAGAATGAAAGGTGTGAGGATTTTTTGTTGTTCTCGGGATGGTACTGTATCTAAAAAGTTCTGGCAGCTGTAGAAAATTGTTTATTCATACTACAGGTTTGGTTTATGGTTATTTTTGCAGATGATAATTCTCAAAACCCAGGTGTATTTTATGTATAATCAGCTTAATTATAAGTACTTGTGCTTAACCCTGGCAGCTGCGAAAATGACTTTATAATGAAAAAACAATATTAGTGTTTGAAATTATTTTTGTTAATAGCTGCATTTTCTGTAAAAAACAGGCATTTGGAAGCTGAATATAATTTCTAATGAGCAGTATTGTTAGAGTAACCTCAATGTTAGATATCACACTTGCAGTGGGGCATGAATAACATGATTTGACTAAGATTCTTCCTCTTTATCACCTTCTTCTTTAAGATATTTAGATTCTGCAAATCAAAATGCCACAGAAACTTCAAAAAGAAGCGAAATCCCAGAAAGATGAGATGGACTAAAGCGTTCCGTAAAGCAGCTGGCAAAGAACTGACAGTGGTAAGGAGCTGAGCTCGTTCACACTTCATATTAGCACACACAAATATCTCTTCCCATGGCACACAGGCTGAGCTAGGTGGCTTAAAGCATTGTCATTTAATGAAATGATGAGCTGGGGAGAAGAGGGATTGTAGAAGAGAATGTGAGAGTTTCTTGAGAGTGAGTTGTTCATTCAGCTTGATTAAAACCTGGATCTTCCCCCTTGGGGATGGAAGCCAGGGTATGAGGTGTCTGTGCTGGTAACACATGGTGGCTCCCAAGTCCAAGGCATTTTTTCCCATCAGTGAATCCTCTGCTCTCTGTACGTGTACAATCGGTAGCTGTATTTCTGCACAAATAATCTGAGGTACAGTTACCTTAGGAAGTCTCTTTATGTAGACCCCTGAAGTATTTACCTGTGAAGTCTCTTTAAAGCTTACAATGTGTAGGAAAAGTCTTTGATAGATAGGAATGTTTGAAAAACAGCATGAGACCTCAAATGCATTTTCAAAACAAAGTTGCTTCAATGGTAAAATATTATACATTCACATTTGGTGGGACAGTCCTTAAATAATTTAAGAATTACTGTGACTTAATTACCTATTTTTTTACAGTAATACTTAGTAAGCATTCTGACACAGCGATTTCCTGCCTTTTGTGGATCCCTCAAAGGAAATAATGTGGTTTTATTTTTCAATGTGACTCTGAAAAGCCATGATTAATTAGCATCTTCAGCAGTTGTTATTCTTGCTTTTGAGTTGTTTCTGGTTATGTTGAATTACTTTTTTGAAAATAACTGAATTTAATATTACTTTATGCTATGCATGTCTAAATAGATGGCAATATGTTCCAATTTTGAGATACATAATGTATTTTAAGAATAAAGCAAATTTATGAACTTAGTGTTGTGTAACTCAGCTTTACCTCAATAAAAAACAACCTTTGGGCAGGGAGAAATATCAGACAAAACTGATATAAAGCTAAATGTGCTTGGCAAAAAAAAAGATAAGGAAACTGTTCCTTCATCTTGAGCTCATGGGGATGGGGGAGCATGGCTGGGGATGGCAGCTGTCCCAAATGCCAGAGTTATTGATTGAAATTTTTCACAATTTCAAATTAGACTGTTTCACTGTTCTTAAAATGAAATAGCTGTTTTGTTTTTTTTTTTTAACCATTTCAAAATTGAAAACTGTTGTGTAGAACTTATTTGTCCTGCAATGAATGCTTTCAAATCTACAGGTTTTCAATTTCGCCTTCCACCTGTCTAATCTGCTCTGTATTTCCTATTCCACATGGGTTTTCTCTTTTCCTTTTGTCTTGCTAAATAGAAAATAGCTGAGGGAGATGTGGTAAATAGTTTTCTTCAGACAAATCACTGTGGCTCCTGACACTTTGAGGCCAAACACTCGACTCGATTTCTTTCTCATATTTATCTCTAATGATTGTTCAAGTCTAGGAACTTCTGAAAGGAGGGAAAAAATCCTATGAAATATTCAGTTATATGAGTGACTGCTGCAGTAAGAACGTATTGATCTAAATAAGCTTCTGCAAATAGTCTGTATTTACCTTTTCTTGATACAGGATAATTCATTCGAATTTGAAAAACGTCGGAACGAACCTGTGAAGTACCAGAGAGAGTTGTGGAATAAGACTGGTGAGTCATTATAGGGAAAAACTAAAAGATTAATTTTTTAATTATCATGGATGTATTTTCAAAAGACTTCTTAGAATATTGACAGCTTGTAGTGATTGTGTTTGAAATTACTGAAATCATGACCAAATTCTTAGCGTGTGGAGGAGGTTTGAGTTGTAAACAGGTGTGGAGTTTCACTTGATGTTTTTTTTTCAGAAACTGGTTTGAAAATGGGGACCAGAAATCCTTTATTTTGAATTGTCATCTTCAAAACCCTTTAGTGGTGTTCCAGCTTTTTAAGAGGCTCCTGGTGTAAGCTTTTTACACTGATGCAGTTGTTTCTGTGTTTGTGTTCATTCCACATCAGTTTGTTTCATAGAATCAATTGCCATAAAATAGAGCTGCTTATATTCATGGGAATGAATGCCACAGAAGAGAAGGTGGTAACTTGCATCTTTTTTCAGGTAGAGTCTTTTGCAGTGATGGTTAACTATGGAAATCATGTGTAGGTGCAAAAGTGGAAGCATAAATAAGTTGTAAAACACAAGTAATAATTTCTATACAGAACATTCCTTTATTCTGCTCTTTGGAGAAGGAATAGTTTCCTCTGTATAGTGTAAGAGTTGCCTCTGGTATTTAGGTATTATAGGAGTACTGGTAACAGCTGCTTTACAAAAATAGCTTGGATTTTCTGCTGCAGGGAATTAAGCACATTTAAAACAACTTCTGCTTTATTTCAGTGGATGCAATGAAGAGAGTGGAGGAAATAAAGCAAAAACGCCAAGCCAGATTTATTATGAACAGGTGAGAAGTGTTTGTGTGATGGGAACCCCTTACATGTGTGTGTGACACAGCCTTTCCAGAAATGGGATGATCAGGTTTTAAAGAATAATTTCCTTTGTATATACACAGTCATCCGAGGGATGGGGTAAAAAGCACCCCTGGGTGGGCTCTGTCCTGTGTCATTGGCTGTCCAAGGAAATGTAGCTTTTGGACACTCAAGGATAGTAGTTGTAATGTAGTACTTGTTTGTATAAAGAGTCTTAAATTTCAACAAAATTCTGAAAGGCGTTGATACAGTGCTGCATTTTTTGTGGTTTTGTATCCAATACTTTCTTGAATTGGTTTTCAAATTTTTTTACTTTTATTTCCTCATAATCATAGTTATTTACAGCCCATACATACCGTTAGCGAGATATATCATACACTAAAATAAAAGCACTCTCCTCTTTGAAGGTAATTAAATCTAATTTTCCCCTTTCTCAGATTAAAGAAGAGCAAAGAGTTGCAGAAGGCAGAAGACATCAAAGAAGTCAAACAGAATATCCACCTTCTTCGTGCTCCCCATGCAGGTAAGAACTTGATTTACTGGCTGACACAGTTTTAGGATGAATGACTCATTCTACAGATCAATAATCCTGTACATTTTTCTTAAAATTAATTTGTCTGTTGAATATGGAGAACAGTTCTTGCCACTAAATGTAAGCAGTGTCTTTGTTCTGAATCAAATACACATTTTTTATATCTAGCCTTGCATTCATTCTTTCTCTTCTTTATTTTGAGTGTTTTAAATTGCACACAATACCTGGTGCTCCATGAGCTACGTGTTTATTATTCAATACATTTATCTAAGTCTTCCTTTTGAACTGGTTAGTTGAACTTAACAGACTCTACCACTGAATGATATAAAATGCAGTAGTTCAACTTTGCTGCTTGAATTTGTCAGTCAGTAGTGTAGAACTTACATGAAAATACTGTTCCTTCACTAAAGTCACATTTTAAATAAATTATTTACTTTTAAAAATACATTTAATGAAGTAGAGTAATAAAGAGAAGTTAAAAACATTTCCATTTGCCCTTGTTTTATAAAAATTACCAGTGATTTTGTTTCTTCATTATTAAATATTAGAAGTCTGTTCTATGTTTTATTTTAGATTTTTTGTCAGGATATATTTAAACTTTGGTTTAATCTGTCATCCGCTCCCCACTTTTTTTTTTTTTTTTTTTTTTTTTTTTTTTTTGAGTAAAAAGATTGGAATTCAAAAGAATAAACTCAAGTGTTTTTTTCTGTGTTTGGCTTTGCTTGTACTAAATGCATGATGCACAGCACTGTGTGGTACATCTGTCGGTCAAGCACCAGCCGCCTTCTTGGTGTTCTGTAATTTTGACTGGCAGAGAAGAGAATCAAATCCAAATCTTGGATTTCTCTTTTTTTTAGTTTTTCTTTTTGGTTGTCTTATCGAGAGTTAACATTCTTGCTGTCCAACACAGCATTCAGGAGGGCTTAAATCTTCATTTAAAAACTAATGTGACAAGGCCATTGATCTGTAATAAGTAATGAATTTTTGTAGTCCTTTGCAAGGTTCTGCCAGGTATTGGCAGCTGTATCAGTTTGTCATAGCAGATGAAAACACAGGTTTGACTGCATTTTAGGTTTTGCATAAAAACAGCATCAGCTTTTCTGCTAAAACAGAACAGTTTTAGGAGGTGATGGAGGTTAGCCGTAAATATCTTTGAGCTTGATGGATTTGCTCGTAAACGACTCGTCAAGCAAAATATTTAGGCTGTTTCATCTGGAATAGACACATATATTGCTCAGAGGAAAGCAATTATTTGGGTTTAGAGAAACATGTTCAATTTGATTTGTTTTTATTGAAGGTACACCAAAACAGCTGGAGGACAAAATGGTGCAGAAGCTACAAGAGGATGTGCCTATGGAGGAAGACTCTTAAAGTGTTTTTATTTACTATTTATGTCTCTTCAGCAGTTAACAGTTCCTTACTGCCTCACCTGACATCATTCAGAAATACGCTTACAGTTGAAGAAAAGTACATTTTAATGAATAGTGGTCATTTACAATTGGAATTATTTTTTTAATGAAAAGTAATAGGATGGATACTAGTTTGGGCAGTACTTAAAAATCTGCAACTTAAGAAAACCTTGTCAGCAGGATGGAGAAAGAGGCATTATTGAGATACCATGAGCTCCTTGGAAAGTTACACTTTTTCTGGATAATTTTTCCATGTTTTTGCAGATAATTAAGTAATAAAATATGCTGGCCCTGAGCTTTGCTTACTTTGTCTGTTGTTCTTTCATAGTGGTAAAAGCAGATAAAAATCTATTTTAATGGTTACAATGGGGCAGGTTGTATTAATTTTCATTAGTCCAGTGTGGTCCAAACTTATTTTCATTCTTGTCCTGGGGAAAATTTTTCAATTTGAAGAATATAGTGTTTGTTTTATCTCTTCTTTAAGTCACCCACCCCAGGATTCCATTGCAGTTGACACCTGGCAACAAAGCTATCATTGATGCAGGACTTAGGTTTGGAAAACAGTAATGGTAATATCACCTAGTCTGGAGTTGGCCCTGCCATCATCCTCACCCACCAAAATTCAAATCTGATGTCTGATCAGGCAGATGGAGATGCTCAATAAATCACACTTGAGACTTTTTACCTGACTCCAAGGATTATTTTGATGGAAAAGTTGCTGCTAAATCACAAGTATTTTGCATATTGTGGTGGTACTTACTCAGTCTGTCAGCACTGAGATAAAGTGCTGGCAGTTTAAAACTATTTATCTGCAACAGTGTGATCAAAGAAACCTTTCAAAGGCATTTGTAGTATTTGCTGTCATGTCATGCTAGTTATCCTCAAAAATAATAACTTGTAGTTCTCTTCCAAACTTGGATATGTACTATAGCAATCACTGGAAAACCTCATACCTGCCACCCACATGTGTATTGTGTAGTTCGGAGAAGAGTCCTATTTAAACTTACATAAGGGTCACTGGGGAGTGTGGGACATAGACATTGTACTCAGTTTTTAATCTCTTGATTTATGAGTTATGTTCAGATATTTAGAAAATGACATATTTTAGTGAGAAATCTAGTAATAAATATAGAATTCCTTATTTTAATGAAATTAAAATTTTGCCATCACTTAAAATTTGCTGATGAGGTGATGGCTGATAACATTTAGGTGTCCAATATTAGTATTTTTCCTGCAAACTGTAATATAAATACCATCTGAAAGGCATATGAGCATATGGGAAGTTGGCCAGAAAATGTGTCAATGGGGTGAAATCACACCATTTGTGTACATACTGTACAAGATGGTACAGTATAAATACAGTGTATTTATATGTGCTATATGTACACCAAGATGCTTGGGCTTGTGGAGGGAGGTACAGCATGTTAATTTGTACAGCCTCACATAAATGTACTAATTAACATTTCAGCTCAAGAAATGTGATGTTTTTTGAATGGCCTTTTCTACTGTAGTATTTGATGTGCTAAATCTTTGAGGTGGGATACTTCATCTAAAAATCATATTACATACAATCTTTTTTCTTTACTAAATTTTAAAGACAGGATGTTCTGCAAGTGCATTAATTTTCTCCATAAACAGGGAAGTAAATCTGTACAAAGCAGGTGAACCCGATGGAATGTTAATTAGTTATTTATTAGTATTTATGTAAAATATTTTACTTTATATGAGTTTAACTAATTTATATTACATAATATCTGTAGTTATTCTGTTCACCTGTCTTTAAATGATTTTCAATAGTTAGCTGGTCTGTGTGCTGCATCTGTAGGTTTTTAGCCCTTTCCTATGAAGGTTGGTACATGAAGTGGTCATTGTGCAGCCACTAAGGGCCATGTGAGTAGTACACTACAACCATAAATCCTGAACCCTGCCAGCTGTATGAGTTGCTCAGCCTGTGCCTCAGTACTGGTTCAATTGCAAGCAAGGGCTGTGGAGGTTAATCCTGAGTTATCCCTCTGCCAGATGTGCCATTTCTCTGGAAAGCAAAGACTTGCAGCCAGCTGTGTGTACCAGCTGTGTATAGTATGTAGGAGGTAGTTGAGCTTAACAAAATTTGTCATGAGTAACATGCTTGCAGCTCCTGGTCAGAAGGCGCCATCGTGATTTGATTTGATTTTTTTTTCTTAAATTTAATTGCTGTGGTGTCCCGTTCTCTAGTCTGTCAACTGGAGCACAAGGTTCTGGAGGGGGGAAGAGCTGCAGCTGAGCAAAGTGGGGCTGGTGATCATTCTGCACATCTCTGCGTAACCCACTGCATGCAGAGACCTTCATGGAGAATGCTGAGCTGCAGAGGAGTAGTGGCTTTCTTTTAGGAGGCTGGCTGTCCAACCACATTTCTAGTAGAAACTGTTATTCAAAGCATCTTGGTGAATATTTGCTTGCTTAAGAAGAAAATTTCTTTATACTTTGCATTTTATTTACAAGACTTAGAGAGAAAATGTCCAACTGAGCAGTATCCTGGTGGTCATGATAAATACTGCCAAGCATGAGGAAGGAAACACATTCCTCTTTGCGCTTGAACAGCTGTAGATCAGACAGTGGCTTGCCAAAGGAGTTTGGGGACAGGCAAACAGGGAGCCCTCATCTGCCAGCTGTGTGTGTGGCTGAGCTGTGCCCAGTCCCTGGTGAGGCAGGACCTGCCATTGCTCCCCAAGAGCAAGCTGGGGAAGAGGGCATTTTGTGAGCAGCACATTGTTATTCAGAAGAGATCCTGGTTTAGTGTCATACATCCCAATCGCCGGTCCTGTCTGTGCCGAGATCCAGTAGGAGCAGAGCACAAGGTGCCTATGAGAACAGACTTACAAGACAAATGATGATGATGGTGATATGAATGAATATTTAATCAGAAGAATTATTTATGAAAACTGGTAGTGCTAAATTCCATTATACAGTCTGTGTTCTTGGCATTTACCAGATCTAACAAACTATTCCCATTTTGTGTTTGTACTTCATGCTGTCAGGAGCCTTCCTACAAAACAAACTGAGAGGCTGGATCAGAACAAATGTGATAGTCAAATCCAATTTTTAACAAATGCTTTTTTAGTTTCATTTGCTGTCATTTTTCTTACAAAACAAAACCAGATGCATAGTTGTTTTCTTTTTTCAGACTACAAAAGTTGGAAATGTGGATTTTAATAGTGATTTAGTAAGCGTCTTTTTACTCGTATTTCCTCTTTTGTATTTTTAATTAATCTCTTAGTGATTTTGAGTTAAATGCTGGTTTTTATCTGAGGAGGAGGTCAGCCTCATGCTAACATATTTTGGCAGCTCCCTGACTTCCAGCCTCAGCTCCTTGTGCCCAGGGCCCTGAGCAGGGTTCCAGCCCTTTGCCAGTCCCTTTATGGTGTCACTGTCACTGTCCACTGTCACTGTCCACTGTCACTGTCCACTGTCCACTGTCACTGTCCACTGTCACTGTCCACTTTTCGAGCCCTGGCTGTGCAGGGACGTGTGTGGGGAGCCGTCACTGCTGTGCGGCCCGCGGCCTGCTCTGAGCCACGCCGTCCGTAGAACCCGTGGGTTCTGTGGGATGCCGAGCTCGGGAGGGAGGGAGCGGTGCCATTTCCGTGCTCGGAGCCGGGATTCAGACGTGGCTGCCCTCAGGAGGAGCGGGCAGGCCGCGCTCGGAGCCGAAAGCCCTCAGGCCGCCCCAAAACAGCCCTGCGGGCACTCCCTGAGGGCCTGGCCTCGTCCCTGGCTTCATCCTGAGCGAGGCCTCCAGATAAGTTTATTTTGTCTTTGGTCAGGGGTTGGGTTTGCAATCCATGCTTCTTACTTTGGTTGTCTGTGGAGGTTTTCTGCTCAAAATTGATCCTGAGGGAATGACCGAAAGGATGGCAGGGTTTTGGTTTTACTTGTTTGTTTGGCTTTTCAGAAAATATGCAAATTCCATCTTTCAGGCTTCACTTTCAGTCTTTACAAGTGCTAGTACAGTATGGAAAAAGTGTAAAATACAGCTTTCTGTGGAACCAAATTGTGCAGAGCTGGTGCAGACTTTCTTCATAGGAAATTTGGCCTTCCCATAGTTTTGAGATTTTCTAGTCAGAGATTTTCCTGATATATTCTTGCTTCAGAGTAACAGCGCGGTGGAGCCCTGCACACGTATGAGATCTGTCTGTGTGTGACACAAATGTAAATCTGTCCTTATGCTGACGTGGTCATAGGTGTCCATGGCTGGAACAGCAATAGACAGCTGCTAATAGGTCCAAAGGCTTATATCCCAGGAGAAGATATTTCAACCTTCAGGCTGTTCAATTCCTCAATTACTGTTCTGGCCTCAAAAATTCAATCTCCTTTACCAGCCTAACTTATTTATGGGTTGCACTGAATTGCGACCAGAGAGAGCAGAAAGCCGAAATAAATCAAGCACTGATAAAACTGCTTAAGCCTTCTTGTTGGCTGCCTGTCTATTTTTAGATCTCAATTTAAAGAGACCATATGCAGAGAAATTTATTTTGTTTCATTCATGTTGAACAAGGAACATTACTTGAGATTTGGTAGGAACAGAGGGAGGAATAAGGATTTGTGGAGGTAGCTGTGTGAAAAGACATTCTTTGCTGGTTTTGGGTTTGTTTGATGCTATTCTCCTCTCCCTCCTATCCTTAGATTTTTCGTATTATATTTAGATTGGTGAGGTCGCTCTTGTTTCTTGAACAGCTGTCTCTTCACCTTTAAAAAGCACTTGGATAACGTTTTGTCTTATATATATGGCAATAAAGGTATATACTGAGGGGGGATGCCAGCTCTATGAACTGTGAGATTTATTAGTGACGTTGTTTCAGTGTGGGGAACAGACTCCTGAATGGAAATAGATGTGTTATTTACAAAGCAGCAACGTTGTGCATCCACAAATTATCACTGGGAATCAAGGCAGGCATCTCTGCATAACTGAGCTATTTTCTGTAGGCTCTGCTCTGCACTAAACTTGCAAATTAAGAGAATTGCTTTGGTAATCAACTTGACTGAAGTGATTCCTGAGTGGAGAATTTGAAAGATTTCTTATTACTTGATAAAATGAAAAGCTGACAGAAATTCTCCCTTGAGTTGAGATGAGGATGGTTACAGTATCTGTTTACACAAGCTCCTACAGAAGGAAGTGTTTTCATTCAGCCTTGCTGCAGAAATTGACGCTGCATAAATTGACTCTGCAGAACTGCTTGGAGCGAGCAGTGAAATAACCAAATGGTTTTCTCTCATATGACCATTACCTGCCACTCCCAGCACTGGGCAAATTGAGATT